AATTCTATTAGTGGCCTGAATATTGGCTTGATGTATCAGTTTATCTGTGTATTACTTTCTGATGATGTTTTCCACTTTGTTCCTCCATCTGCTGTGCACCCTGTCACTCCCCCCCCCCCCCCCCTTTCTCCCCCCCCCCTCCCTGTGCACGTCAGTCGAGCTACCAACGCAGAGGTAGCAGCAGTAGAAGGGAGACGCTCAGGAAGGACGGCGGAACACAATGAGGCTCTGCAGCAGCAACAACTCTGCAGTCCTGGTGTCAGTTTGCCCCTCTGCTCTGCTCTGCTCTGCAGTCAGGGCAAGCAGCTAGCCTGTCCGTCTCAGCTGCACCACCGCTTCCTCCGCCCGTGCTGCCAACAAACAACAGGGGCCCTTCACATTCCTGTGGGCCCTCTTTTATAAGCTTACCAAGAAGAGGAACTAACCCATCCCGTCTCCTTCCACCTCCCCCCCACCTCTCTCTCTCTGTGTGTCTCTCTCTGTCCCTCTGTGTCGGCCGTGGCGCTGCTTGTCCCGCAGGTGTTCTTGAAGGAGGCCCTGGAGCAAAGGCTGGAGAAGGAGAGGGAAGAGGTGCGGCGCAGGGCTGGCATGGTGATCCGCGCCCACATCCTCAGCTATGTGGCAAGGTGAGTGGGAGAGTGTGGAGGAGTGAAAGGCTGAGTGGCAGCGACAGTTGTCGGTGTTTGTTTTGTAACTGAGGTGTAGCCTACGGCCTCTGTATCTTTGGGGGTGGGGGTGAGGATTATGTGCATGTGCATGCCTTTGCACACGTGTTTACCTTTATACCTGTATGTTTTACATCGGTGCGGAAGTTCCTCGGTAGTGGGTCCGTCGTTTATAAACTGCGTGCAGCCACACATTGTTTAAATTCTAGTCAAGACCACACATGTTTCCAGAAAGTATGGAGTATAGAGCTTATAGACAGAATGGATAATGAAGTCCGACAGTGAAAGACACAAACAACCTTGCACTGTGCATCATTTGTGGTGTGATGTCCTCAGACCATCATCAGGTCAAATTTAATGAGGAAATGAACTTTATTAATAAAGTAAGTACAAGTAAGAGGGTGCAGAATCATTAGGGAAATGTACTGCATATAGATTGTATCTAAAGACATCTGGAATATTTTTATATTATGTAATAATGCCACCATAAAAGCTTAAAAGCTGAAAAACCTCATGCTACGCTACTACAGGAGCAAAAGGAAGTGGATGTGGGGTAAATGTTGGTTAAAATGTCTGGTATATCCTGAAAAGACAGTGATTTAGAATGATGTAATGGTCATGCTTCTTAGTTGGCTGGTTTTTGCTGGAACACTATCAGCAGCACAGTTGATGTTAATTGTCTTTTCAAGTCTGCGCAGCAGGTTTCCCACCTTTCCACTCCGCCTGACAGACAGGACATCTACCACTATGGTGGTTTATAAATCTGCACATGCAAACACCCCCTTTGCTATATAATATAGGTGTGCCCCACTTGTGTGCTGCCTTATACTGTATAAGGTCAATATGTACACTCACTGGCCACTTTATTAAGTCCACCTCTACAGTTGTATGCGCCTATTCAACACCTCTGCCTTGCCATCTGTGTTTGTGAAGCTTGGAATATTTCACTTTTGGTGAAATTGAGGTCATAGCTGAAAGTAGTGTTGTACTGGACTACATTATATTCAGAGGTGTTCTTAATATTCTGACCCTCTGATGTATATAACGGGAGAACAAAACTATAGAGACAACTTTAAATCTAATGTAGTCCAGTACAACACCACCTTTAGCCATGACCTCAGTAATAAACATGTAATTGAATTTACACATTTGTGACATTCACCAAAAACTGAAACGCTTTGAGCTTCATGAACACGCGATGTTAAGGCGGAAGTGTTGCATTGAATTACATACAGGTGTACCCAATAAAGTGGCTGGTGAATGTGTTTCTCTGAAAGGCTACACTGGGAGAGCATGACGGCACTGATGACAGCACTGAACTTTTGGATTCACTTCACTTTTTAGCCGCTTGTACTAAAGCGAGAGACTCTGGAAAATCCCTAAAGACATAATTAAATTTAGTGTAACATTATCTCTGCTCATAGCCCGTCCTGAGACCAGCCAGGGGCCTTGGAGTGATTACTATGGAGACTAGACCGGGCTAAGGGTCAGAGAGTCATTGCATTGTGTGTGGTCCTTTTACATACACATGTGTTTGTGTGCATGTTTATGTGTGTGTGTGTGTGTGTGTGTGTATTCAATGCATGCGCATTGTGTGGGTGATGGGGCTTAGTCACAGGCCCACACAGCCACAATGGAACAGCCCAAGCTCATCAGACTCTAAATAGTGCACAGTTCACAATGCGCCAGTGTGTTTATTTAAACAGAGAATGCCAGCGAGCCTTAGGTGGAGACCGTGTTGTGCTGTGCGACGTCACAGATTGTTTGTTTGCGGTGACAATGGTCTCGGATCATGTTGGATTAAATGCTATGCTGCACTTCTGACAAGACCTTTCAGTCGCCTCCCAACCAGAAGGTTAAAGGTTTGAATCTCGGTGCCTGCAGTCCACATGTTGAAGTGTCCTTGGGCAAGACACTGGTTGCCCCCGATGGTTAGAGCCGTCGGCTGAGTTGGCGCCGCAGATGGCTGCTATCGGTTCTGTACCGGAAACAAATTTCCTTGTGTGTAACATACTTGGCCAGTAAAGGTGATTATCTTTATCCCAAATGTGTGTGTTTAATTTTGTCATAGGAAACAATATAAAAGGGTTTTATTCAGTGTCGTCACCATCCAGAAGAACTATCGTGCGCACTTTTGGAGGCGCATCTTCCTGCGCCTACGCTTGGCTGCCATCGTCCTGCAGAAACATCACAGAGGCCAGCTGGCCCGATCCCTCTGCTGCCAGCTCAAGGAGGAGAAACGGAAGCAGGAGGAAGAGGAGAGAAGGCGAGTAGAGGAAGAAAAGAGGAGGATGGAAGAGAGGAGACAACAGGAGGAGGAGGAGAAGAGAAAGAGAGAGGAGGAGGAGGAGGAGAAGCAGAGGCTGTTGGATGAGGAGATGAAGAGGAGGGCGGAGGAGGAGGCCATGAGGAAGGAGGAGCTGAGACTGAAGGAGAAGGAGCAGAAAATGGCAGCTAAAGCAGACAAGGAAAGGTAGAGCATCACACTGAAAGTGCATTTATAAATATGTCAAATGACTTGGATCGCCCATTTATATGCATAATGTTTTATCACTAATGCACTATTATCTTGTCTTTAGGAACTCAGTGGTTAATGGTGCTTGTCAGAAGGTAATTCCTTTTCAGTAAACATAACTGGCATTCACATGGCAAAACACATAAGACATGATTGTGGTGACATAGAACTCTTGATTTAGCAGTTTGTCATCTTGTCCTGTGCACAGAAGGAGCTGTCGCAGACTGTGTCCTTCGGTCACACCTCTGACGAAGAGAGCCGTCAGATGGAGGAGATCCTGCGGCTGGAGAGGGAGATTGAGCGTCTGCAGAAGCAGCAGGAAGACGGCATGTCCCTCCTCGGGGACGTCTCACATGAGGAGCTGCGGCAGATGAGGGATGCTGAGATCTACAGACTGGAGAAGGAAGCGTCCCGTGTGGCTACTGAGTTCCTGGACCTGCTGGACTTTGGTGGTTTAGAGCCTTCGCTGTCAAGTGAGGAGAACCTCCATGACCCGACTGAATCCATCGCCCCTCTGGCTGAGATGGAGGTAGATGAGGGGTTTCACGCTGAGGACGAGTGCATTCCTCTGCCTGACTTCCCTCCACCAGCTGCGGTTCCTCTTGATAAGGAAGTATTCCAAAGTGTTCCCCCTCCTCCGCCTGCCTTTGCAGAGGGATTAGTGGTTCCCCCCTCTTCAGCCTCCTCTCCTGTAGCAGGAAAGTTCTCACCAGTTGCCCCAAATGGACTGAGTCATACCCCTGTTCTCACGGACTCCCAGACCCCTGGCCCTCCTCCTCCCCCTGTAGTCACTAATGGAGAAAAGCGGCCATGCCAGAGGGCCAGCAGTGGCTCACTCTTTGAGCCTGTGAGTGAGGAGCCATTGCACTCAAACCTGCCAGACATGGAGTCGGACTATGACCAGGAGGAGTTTGAGGAGGCTCATGGGAGCTCAGGCGCTAGCACCAACGATGGCCATATCACAGATGAGGAGGTGTTGCGTAAATCATCTTGTACCCAGAACAGCCTGGACTCCTTCAGAGGCAGCTCAGACTCGGTGAGAACTATTGGGCAAAGTGCCATTTCTGTCAAATGCTACTGAGACGTTGCACCTGGAAAAGAACTGATAAGAGTTGTACTTCTTAACAATCTGATCCTTATGGGTATTCATTTGAAGCATCAGTGGTCCAGTGGGAGTACATTTAGTCAGAAATCTATAGAAATTTGATGTGATTACTGAGAAATTAACAGAATTACCTTTAAAATTTCAAATATAAAATTCCAAGCCTCAAATTTTACCTAAACATGCCCGTCACATATCCAAATGAAAGCTTGTACGTCTGTTTGATGCTTCCCACATGTTGCCTCAGCGCAGACAGCCCTGAACTGAATGTTGACTCTGCACATGTGCAAGCCTGAATCCTCCCTTAACATATCAAAAGACTCTGCTCATGTTAGAAGCACAGTGAAACAGCCTCGCAGTTGTTTCTTTTGGCTCTGCTGATGAGCAGGTGAATCTGTTCCCAGATGCTGCAAGTCAAGCAGAGATCAGACTTGACGCTGTTATATCAGCAAAATGTCAAAGGGGAAGAAAGAGGGTGTGTGTTTGCAGAGTGTGGCTGAATGTGTATATACCAGTTTTATGGCTATGTAGGTCAAATAGATTTTAGGCACTGATTTTAGTGCTTAAATGAAGACTGATTTCATGTGTTGCTGAAAAAAAAAACTTGAAATGTCATGATTTCAAATGACTGCATATAAAACCACTTTTTTTCCCTAATATTGACTGCTAAACATTTTTTTGAAGGACCTCTGTCATAATGCTGGTGTGTGTTTCAGTTTATTGACAGCGACGAGGATAACGATGGCTACGTGGACACGGATGAGGAAGTTTCCAATGGAAGAGTGAATCTGCTGAATGGCAGTGGGCCTCCATACTTCCATGGCTACCTCTATATGAAGAGTAAGTGGCTTTAGTAAAATCGCTGCTCAGCAGGCATGCACAGATGAACACAGCTTTTATAGCCATTTGTGAGTTTCAGAAAAGCTCTACAAGTTTCTGCAAGTCTACAATTCAGCATTTGTTCTTTGTCCCTCTGCTCTCTGCACCTTTCCCTCTTTCAGGTGGCCTGATGATCCCATGGCGTCGCCGCTGGTGTGTGCTGAAGGATGAGACTTTCATGTGGTTTCGGGCCAAGCAGGACTCCCTCAAATCCGGCTGGCTTTACAAGAAAGGAGGAGGCATGTCCACTTTGTCTCGGCGAAACTGGAAGATGCGCTGGTTTGTCCTGCGAGAGTCGAAGCTCATGTACTTTGAGAACGACAGTGAGGAGAAGCTGAAAGGAACCATCGATATCTGCGAAGCCAAGTAAGACCCTGGTCTCATTCAGCTAAACATCATATTCCCTAGTCTCTAATTTTCGTCTCTCAATAAACAACAATTAAGCCCCACAAAGTTTGTGAATCGCTTTGGGTCTCTGTATAGGGAGATAGTGGACAATCATGAGAAGGAAAATGCACTGAATATTGTGACTGAGGAGAGGACCTACCACATCTATGCAGAGTCCCCAGAAGATGCCAGGTACACTATATCCATATATACTTCTAGTTAACTGTGGAGTAGTGTTTTACTTTGTCATCACCTCTGTGTAAAAGTGATGTATGGACATGAAGGTCCCCCTTGTGGTTACCAGTGGAAGTTCACACTGTACAATTAACATGTTTGCTGACTTGTATTTCCTGAACTCCCTCTCACCCCATCCAGTGGTTGGTTCAATGCGCTGAGTCGGGTCCACAGCGCCAGCCCAGAGCAGCTCATGGAGATGCACCATGAACAGGCCAACCCAAAGAATGCAGTGGTTAGTGCTGTTTTACCTCTGTGCTGCCTGGGCCCCAGCCTCAGCTCCACCAGTAATGTTTCACCAAAAATGATGAAGCATGAAACCGAAGCATTACAGCCCAGATCTGGGTCCTATAGTTAATTAATCTGAACAGGCAGAAAACAGTCACTTGTGCAACATTGTTGTTTGTTACTGACATTAACAGAATGAGAGTAGGTAATAGAATACACAGATAGAGAAATTAAATGAGCTGGAAAACCAAATGAAGCCACTTTACACAGAAATAAGCTAATAGACGGTACTACAGTGTTAGAAAGACCTTTTTACTTCCCTTCATTCCACCCTCTTACTCTTCAAATCCTCAAGAATCCAGTACACTAAGTAAGCTTGCCTCTATCCTACTTTGAAACACAAACCCAACAGTAATGTTTTGGATAGGTGAGGTAGAGTTTTAAAATGTGGAAGTGCATTGCAATCTTTTCTATTACTAATAAACCCACCAAGAAATATAATATCATGCCTCTCTTCTATGTCCAGGGCACACTGGATGTGGGCTTGATTGACTCTGTTTGCGCCTCAGACAACCCTGACAGGTAATGAAACCTCACCCGGCTCTCAGTGAAGGATGTAACGTATTTAATTACATTTTTAGTGGTGTGAACTATATGAGTGTATGTATGTGTGATGTGCCCTCTTTCCAGACCAAACTCATTTGTGGTGATCACGGCTAACCGGGTGATCCACTGCAACACAGACACACCTGAGGAGATGCACCACTGGATCGGCCTGCTGCAGAAATCCAAGGGAGACTCCAGGGTTGACGGGCAGGAGTTTTTAGTCAGAGGTCAGTTAGCAGACATGCTTTTTTATGATCTGAGAGGTGATTCATGTACTCACATATGCAGTAGGATGCCTCTGATTAGGTACATAAATGGCTGGTGTGATTCTGCACTGAAAACTTTAAATTATTTTGAGAAGGAAACATGTAAATGAATTAAAACCTACTGTATGACAAAAAGGATCTAAGAATACTCTTTTTTAGGAAATGATGAGTAAATCTGATATTTATCCTCTCAGGCTGGTTGCATAAGGAGATGAAATCAGGAGCCAAAAGCACATCTCTGAAGCTGAAGAAGCGCTGGTTTGTCCTCACCAGTAACTCCTTGGACTATTACAAGTCACCAGAGCGCAGCTCCTCCAAACTGGGAACTCTGGTCCTCAACAGTCTCTGTTCTGTGGTGCAGCCTGATGAGAAGGTCTTCAAGGACACTGGTCAGTTCATGGTCAAGATTATTCTCACTCGGCTTCAGCCAGGAAAAAAATACTTTATCTCTTAAAATGGGGCTTATTTATTTTTGCAGTTTACAACATTTCTGATTTGTGCATTTTATGGTTTGGGGCACTTAGGCTTCAACTTCTGAAGAGAAAGTCGCTGTCCTTGATTCTGCCAGGGAGCTATTTTGTCCCTCATCACATTCTGCCCCATTTGTCCAGGTTATTGGAATATAATTGTCCATGGCCGTAAACACTCTTACCGTCTCTACACCAAAATGCTGAATGAAGCCATGCGGTGGGCGAACGCCATACAGGGAGCAATAGACAGCAAAGTTCCCATCGAAACACCAACACAGCAACTCATCAGGGACATCAAGGTATTAAAGAATCCACTCGAATGTTTCTCCCTTTGTTGTGGCTGGGTTGTTAATGTCATGCTGAATAAAAACTGCTAGTCTGTGATTTATATGTGCACGTGTCTTACTAAATGTGCTAATATTTTGACAAAGTAATTCTGCATAACATTTCAGTAACTTGTGAGCATTAATATTATTGTAACTGAAATTCTTTTCAGTCATGCAAACCTCTGGCAGGGACACACACTGTAGTACAGTGAGGTACTTGTACTCACTACATGTGTGCTGTGATTTTCTGGGTCTTGGCTTCGCCCGCTTATTTACCTCTTCTGTCATACTGTGTAACTGTTTCCTAACATTACTGCAGTAATGATTATCAACTCACTTAAATACAAACTTCCACCAGTTTAAGAATGTTCTGCTGTGCTGTAAAGATAATTCCTGAAGACCTTACAATCACTGACCCAGTTTTCTGTCTGTCTAGGAGAGCAGTTTAAATGTGGAGGCTGTGGAGCAGACATACTGGAGGAACCCCATCCTGAGATATACCCAGCATCCTTTGCACTCTCCTCTTCTACCTCTGCCCTATGGAGATGTCAGCATCCACTGTAAGTGCTCTGGTCTGACGCTACTGTTTGCAGGCTATTGCTATTGATTCCTAGTTCCAATAAATGCCTTACTCTCCCTGCATGTTGGAGGTACCTAAGTATTGAGTACTCACACCAGGTTTTTGTTGCAGTGTGCACCTTTTTTGCATGCTTATGTAATTGTTATTCTACCAAAACATCTAGTGTAAGGCATAAAAGGTCACTAACTGGAGTAAAGGCGGCTACTTTCACAAAAAATTAGAAGATGAGGAAGATTCCAGTATGAAGCACTTCCACAGTGGACAGCGTGGATGTACACAACTTAAACCTAAAAGCCCCTTATATCTGGGTGATTCTGTCATTATGACAAAATATTCAAATATCCCAACCTAGAATTACCGCTTCGTGGTTGTATGCCTCTGCAAACCAATCAAATGCACAGGTATGGGACAGGTAAAGTACATTAACTAGCTTTAAAATGAATTCTTCCCTGTCCATCTCTGTCTCCCAGTGCAAAAGGAAAAGGGTTATACCAGCCTGCAGGATGAGGCCGTGAAGATTTTCAACTCACTGCAGGAGATGGAGGCAGTGTCAGACCCTGTGCCAATCATCCAGGGAATCCTTCAGACCTGTCAGGACTTGAGGCCATTAAGAGATGAGGTCTACTGTCAGCTGATCAAACAAACCAATCACGTTCCGCATCCCAACAGTCCTGCCCATCGTGCCCACTGGCATCTCCTGACCTGCATGAGCTGCACCTTCCTACCCAGCCGAGGCATCCTACGCTACCTCAGGTTTCACCTCAAAAGGTACGAGCCATTTTTGGGTGCATTCCGTTATTCATACAAGTTCCCCGATATAAGATTAGAGATGAGTGAGACCTTGGGCTCATCGTACTTTTGTCCTTGGGAATTCTCAGGATAAAGGAGCTGTTCCCCGGTACAGAGATTGAAATGTTTGCTCATTTCATTGGTGAGTCTTTGAAGAAGACTAAGGCCAGAGAATTTGTTCCTTCCCAAGAGGAAATCATGGCACTGCTTTCCAGACAGGAAATGACAACCACAGTCTACTGCCACGGAGGAGGCTCCTGCAAGATCTCCATTAATTCACACACCACCGCTGGAGAGGTAAGTGAGCTGTTGTCACTGTAGGCTGTTTTAAATGTTTTTCTGCAAGATACTGCTGAGATCATTTCTTATTTACACAAACATAGAGATTGCTTTTGTCTTAAAACATGACAAGAGGAGTCATACTAATACGTACTCACTGTGATCTCGCCTTACTTTGTTTAGGTGGTGGAGAAGCTAATCAGAGGTCTGGCTATGGAGGACAGCCGGAACATGTTTGCACTCTTTGAACACAGCAACAGCATTGACAGAGCTGTGGAGAGCAGGGTCCTTGTAGCTGATGTTTTGGCCAAGTTTGAAAGGTATGTTCAACCTCGTCGTGGTTTACCTTCTTTTGCATACTGTATTTGATTATATTATTACAAAACTGGAGTGCAGTTACCAGTTGAGATACATAGAACTTTGTTTTTAGGGCATGATAATGATAAGAAAGAACCAGAAAAAAAGATGTGTAAGTGACAGGCTTTGTGGTTTTCCCACCAGACTGGCTGGTAGCGAGGAAGCTGAGGATGAAGGCCAGTGGAAACTCTATTTCAAGCTCTACTGCTTCTTGGATGTAGAGAGCATGCCTAAGGAAGGAGTGGAGTTCGCCTTCATGTTTGAACAGGTGTGTTTTATTCACCATGTTAGACTTTATTGAGTGTCCTTTGAATTATGTTTCACTTGGTGCTAATGTTGAACTTTGTTCCTTCAGGCCCATGAGAGTTTGACCCGGGGACACTTTCCTGCCCGTGAGGAGACCCTGCAGCACCTGGCCGCTCTACGCCTTCAGTTTCTATATGGAGACAAAGCAAGGGTCACCTGGGGCCTGGAAAATATCTACCCTGTGGGCCGGCTACGTAATCGCATTGTGCAGTTTACCAAGGTGGGTGGAGCTTCAGGGTCAGGACAAACTCTGGAGCGTCGGAGGACTAGTTTCCTGGATGGGACCCTACGTCGGGGGTTGAAGACAGGCTCAATGAAGAAGCAGCGCATGGAGGAGGAGCAGATGTTGGAGATGTGGATAAAGGAGGAGATGTCTGCTACCAGGGCCAGCATCGTGGAGAAGTGGGCTCGTCTCGAAGGTCTGGATCAGCACCAAGCCATGCTCAAGTACATGACCATCATCAAAGAGTGGCCTGGATATGGATCCACACTGTTTGATGTTGAGGTAAATTTACTAGACTTCGTTCAGGTTTCCATCAAGGGTGCACTGATCTGACTTTTTCTTTCTCAGTACAATTCCAATACCTTAGCTCAGGGACTCTTTTTACTCTTTTTTTTTGTTTTTTTGTTTTAAATCTACATAAATTCCTAAAGTATGTGGAGCTTGACTGATGTCATGTTTTGGTTAAGTAAAAGATGAAATGCCATACCAGACCAGTACCCAGTCTACAAGGTCAGTAATGCACACTAAATTATGCTTATGAGATCCTGTATTTATGTCTTTTTAGTGCAAAGAAGGAGGCTTCCCTCATGATCTCTGGTTAAGTGTTAGTGCAGAGAATGTGTCTGTCTACAAGAGAGGAGAGCCCAAGCCTCTGGAGACCTTCCCATATGAACACATCATCTTTTTTGGTGCCCTGCAGCCTTGCACCTACAAGATTACTGTGGATGAGAGAGAAATGTTCTTTGAAACACCACAGGTATATTGTATGGGAACACAGGATATTGGAATATCAAGCAGATGAAACAGGCTGCAGTTTGTTGCATTTCTTCTTTTCTGACTTTTTATTTGTCCACTTCCAGGTTGGAGAGATCACAAAGATCATGAAAGCCTACATAAATATGATTGTGAAGAAGCGGTGCAGTGTGAAGTCTGTGTCCAGTTACGGAACCAACTGGATCAGGTGATTGTACAGGACACAATATGCACTGAGCTACAGTACACCTGAACTCTAACAGGCAAGAATGGAGAGAAGACGTAGGTATGAGAAGAGGAACAAGTCATTTTGACAGAGATTGCGTCTCTGAGCTTTTGACTGGCTATGCAGCAACACAAACAAACTCAATCCAGAAAGATTTCTTTATATAGGGACACAAAAATTGTGGTGTCTTGACTGCATTCTAGAATCTGCACCATTTTAAGCTTTACAGTCATCTAAAGCGTTCTCTCCATGCAGTCTCCAAACATGTTACTCTCACTGGTTACACTGGCCATTTCTCTCATGTTACTTGAAATGTAATTCAGGTATCTTTCTGTGCATTCTATTTTAATATCCAGAGAATGTTGACAGAGCTTGCTTGCTCTTTTTCCCAACAAAACCTTCAATGATTCAAGACTCTTGTTCTGAGTTTAGACAGAATTTCCAAAAAAAAAGTGGATTTCTTTCTATTTCACTTTCTTTCTATCCCAACCTGTGTAAAAGATTGTGTTGCAGTGGCAAACTCGCACTAACTGAGTCACCTTTACAAGTGTTTTCCCCCTACAGAATAGGCTATTTCAGCCCATTGTAATGAATGTTCTCCTGAATGGAGATTCCCTCAGGTTAAAGAGTAATATAATAGTCATCCTGCCAGGGAGATGATCTCCCTCACTTTTGCCTTATTTAAGTTTTTATTATAGCTATTCTGGGCCGTTGATTGTATAAACATGGACAACGCGTCACAACTTCCCTCCACTATGCAAAAGTGAAGCCAAAATATTGTGAATTGGAGTATGGATACTTGTGCTCGGGCAGAAATTTAGAAATTATGTTTGGCTCTGAGTCAGATGTAGACACATAGATCAACCTTAGGCTTAGACAACTGGAATGCTCAAATGTCTGCTTTGTTTAATGAGAAGGATAACACCATACAGACTCAACTGTGTATGGCTCGTGTCAGGTTCGGACATTATATAATTTAAACTTGTCAGGCTACTGAACCCGCTGCCACCGCGATTCGTCCCCGGATAAGCGGTAGGAAATGGATGGATGGAAGCTTGTCAGGTTCAGAGGGAAATATGCGGCCCAATCCATGCTGTGTCACGAATACGTCAGCTGTCATCTTAGCATTTCCCAACCGGATTCTACACAGTAGTGACTAAGTAATTGAGTGACATATCAGACCGCCAATCAATACTGTCAAATCATCTGAAGAGCACACCTTTTTATATTGTCAAATAATTTATTAAAAACAAACCTACCAGAAAAATGACCACCTTTACACACATCAGTGTAATAATATATACCAAAAACCATAGAAATCACCTCTGGGAAAAATTTGTTTGATTTATACTTTGAGTTTTTAATTTGGTTTATGTTCCATCCACTTACATGGAGGGGGTGGGATTTATGACCTATACTGCGACCATCCACTAGGGGGCGATCGACTCACTGTGGCTTCAGTTCTGGGAGTTGTCAGGCTATCCATCTTTATACAGTCACTGTTCTGGACTAATAGTTTGAGTGCAGATGTGGCCTTTCAGCAATGGAATATACATTTTGAGGTGTTGAATATCTTGGTCAGTGGCAGATATTTCCATGGGTGTGTGACCCTGTAAAGCATGTCCCTATCTTAAAAAATAATAACTAAAAGGAAAATTTGTCTCCAATAAGTCAAATAAATTCAGCATACAAAGAAATTCATTGTGAATAACCACTGCATCAGTGGAGATGTAATGTTTACTGTATAACCACTGCAGTAGAGTATCTTCTCAAAAAGCACCAGTACTAAAATCAGGTGAAGTATTTGGGCTTCTGTCCCAGAACAAGTTTTCTGTATTGAGCTGATTTAGTGTGTGTGGAGTTGGATGTATGTTTTTGAAACTTACTGTAGCTGAAAGAGGCAAGCATGTATCACCTGTCCAATGTATCTGTCTAAAAAGTTTTTTTTTGTTTGCTTTAGTGATGTTAAGGCCATGTGAGCGTGGGTTATTTATTTATTGAAGCTCATAAAGAAAGCTCAGAAATTAACTGTGTGCTCTAAATGTATTGACAGTTTTTCAAGTGCTTTTTGTTATTCATGGACAGCGATCCATAATATTCAGAACCAGACAAGTTGTTTTTAACGTAGTCATGGCCCAAAATGTCAGCACCCCTGCATTTCTGTCAGATAACACCACTTCTCCCAGAAAATAGATTGGTATTCTAATGTTTATTTCTTTTGTTTGCATTGGAAAAACACAAAAAGCCAAATCTGATACATTCCACACAGATCCCACAAAACTGACAGTTTGAATGGTAGATAACGAATCTCAGTCAACTTCCAAACAAGTTCAAGCTGAGCTGCAGGCACAGGGTGCAACAGTGTCAACTCGTACTATCCATCACATCTGAATGACGGGGGACGCTATGGTAGGAGACCCAGGGCGACCCACTGCTGACACAGACATGAAAAAACCAGATTGGAGTTTGCCAAAAATTACCTGAGGCAGCCACAATCCTTCTAGAAGAATGTTCTGTGCACAGATTAGACTAAGAAAAGAACATGGTCCCTACAGTCAAACTGATATTATGAATAAATCCCATAGAGTCCCTGTGAAGAAATCTCAAAACAGCAGCTGGGAGAAGGAGCCCTTCAAATCTGAGACCTGCAGCAGTTGGAAAAAGAAGAGTGGTCCAAAACTCCAGTAGACAGGTGGAAGAAACTCACTGATGGTTACAGGAAGCGATTGATTTCAGTGACTTTGTTCAAAGGGTGTGCTATCAAATATTAAGTTGGGGGTTCAATAATATTGTCCAGTCCATTTTTAGACACAAACAAGAGAAATAAACATCAGAATACCAAAGAAATTGTGATTCCAACAATTTTCTGGGAGAAGTGGTGCGTCACCTGACAGGAAAGCGGGGGTGTTGATATTTTTACTACATGTGTATTATTGTTTTTCATTCATTTTGTGCCCTGTTCCTGAGCTTTTGTCAACATAAGATAACCTAAGTGCATTGCCCTCAACACCCAACCTGCTCATTTCTTTTTACCGTCTCGCTAACCACAGGATATTTCCTCTTCTACACCCCTGTAAATATACACCAAGAATTCAAGGCTTTTCCAATCAACATGCAGTATAGTACATGTTAAGAGTGGGCCAAGCGTAACAACCTTAGTATTTACCTCACATTGCATTGCTGTCTTCCATCGCTCTCTGATCGTACTGACTTGGGCGTTCTGGTCAGCTGCCGGCGGCCGCACCAGAGGCTGATCTTGCCATTGGCAATGACTGTATTTCTGATTGTTTTGAAGCAGAAAAATCAGAAAATGTTTTATATCAGAATTTAAAGATGCTTTAATAAATTATTGTATTTCAAAAACTGTTTGATTTCAGTATGTCATGCTATGGTTTACTTTAGACAGGACACCTCAGGAATAATTTAATCAAATGGAGCACAAAGAACAGAAGTTTCAGGCATCAGCATACAAACATTTTAACTGCACACATATAGTTTTTTTTTCTGAGGATTCAGCACCTCACTAAAAATATTAGACTGAGCTCTTTTTTGTTTAAAGGATTTATTATTGAAACAAAAATGAGCTCAGTCTAATATTTTTTGTGTTGTGCTGAATCCTGCATCATTCAAACCAGATGTTTCCCTCCGCAGCTGCTTCATGACGCCAGCGTCAGGAGCTCGTGACGTCACTCCCTTGTAAATTAGAGGTCCGCCCTCAGTTTGACTCCAGAAATGTTTTAGTTTGCTCTCTTCTCTCACACGGTCGGTGGTTTTTGGCTTGCCACACAATGCCCGGTCTTTGCGGAGCTTCAGTCCTTGTTTTTACTTTCATTCTCCACGGTATTACAGCCGCAGAGGCGCAGGCGACGACCCCTTCTCCAGCTCCGGGTAAGTTTTCTTTAACTTTAGACGATGTGTGCTGTGTTTTGTCCAGCCAGAGTCCGGTCAAGAGGCTGTCACATGACAGCAGCAAAGCGCACTTTCATTAACCGTAAGAGCAAAGATAATCGTCTCACTTTAGTTTACTGGATAAATAACAGTACTTGTTGTATTAAGCTATAGCAACGGTTAGCTTGTTTTCTTTTTAACTGTAGCAACGACGAACGGTTTGACATTAATTAAACTAAAATGTAGCATATTTTGTTCTTGATTTGTCACTTTAGGCAGAAATAGACATATACTTTCTAGTATCCCCATTTCTAAATCCTGTACAGAAAAAGCAGGGCTAATAACCTACACTCAAAGCATACAGTAACTCAACTATTTCGGTTTTAGTCCCTTGTGCTTTCAGGTCCAACACCAGTTGTTCAGAGTGCCTGCAGAATGTGACTGTAAGTCTCCTAAAATGAAGCCAAAAACAAATATACTAATACTGTTTTGTCAGTACCTATAAACACCAAAGATAAATTTGTCAGCACATTGTCTTTTGCTCTAATTGTTGCAGTGTTTATGGTGCATCCCAACCCAACAATGCATAGACTACCCAGTGAGGGACATCCTGCCCGACAAAAGTGTCTGTCCTTTGTCTGATGCACGATGGGGACTTTGCTGGGGTAAGACTTTCCAAACCTTAGGCCTCAGATAGATCTGTGTGACATTTGGAATATGTGTGGGACAGACTTTGTAGTAAAAGCAAATGGTTGCTTAAAAATAAGTGGCAACTTTTGTGATATTCAGTAAATTTTTAAGTAATTGTTCAAGCAAAAATGAAGATTGTAAACATTAACACACAAAAATTAATCTATCTCTCAGCCATGTGGTTTTTTTTTTTAAACTAAGAGCAAACTTATTTTTTGAGGTATCTTTCAGAGTGTGGAGGCTTTTTATTACTTTTGTTTGATGTATTTTGCTGAGCACACCTGATGCGTATCGTGAGCAGTCTTTTCTGAATATCAGTCAACCACCAAATAGCTGACTAAAGTCTGAAAGAGGCAACCTTTGTTGTGTGTATGTAATAGGATTTGTGCATGAATGCCTCATGTTTAAGTGAATGTTGACCTTTTCTCAGTGTGTGTGTGTGTGTTCATTTCACAGTAAACTTCCAGATTTTGATCATCGCCATGTCCGTGCTAGGTGGCATCCTCCTAATTGCCCTTATTGTTTTTCTCCTTTTCTGCTGCAAGTGTGAAAGAATTGGGTAAGCATTAAGTCATGTGAAGTGCTGCTGCCTGTGAAATCTGTTCAACGTGGAAGGAGGAGGAGGATGGTGAACACAATGGGTTGTTTTTCTGCAAGGCTGGGCTGATACCGCTGTCTCCAAAAGCCTGCCAGAATTTGTGGCTGCAGTTTAGCTCTGAAAAATAACTTTGTTCTTTCTGTTAAGATGTGCTTTAGCTCCTTGTTTAAAACTAGTTAATTTAATAATGAATGTTGAATGAAGTGGAGATAGTGATATATTTGATCAGGTCATTGGTCTGATTAACTTGTTTTAATGGTGTTGTATTAGGTTATAAGCAAAGCACATTTGACTCAAGCAAAAAATACACTTGTCCTAACATAACACTTTATTTACAAAAACATCATTGTGATGAATATTAATATAATTACCTTTCTCAAATTCAAAAACAAGAAACAAGAGAGAAGATGCAAAGGCGGAGCGACAAGCCCGTGCGAGGAAGGCCCGTCAGAAAGTAAGGTACTAAGTGGCTGTTGTGTAGGGGTCTGACATCTGTGAAAAAAGTTGCACAAAGAGGCAATGAAACTCAAATATGGTGCAGACAGAAGCTATTGTTGTGTGTCTGACACATTTAACCACACATCTGAGTAAAGTTTAGGTTAATTTAGTGTTTGAATATTTTCATTGTCTTCTATTATCGAGTATGCATACATTTGCCCTAGATTATTTTAAGAGAAGATCCTTAAACTAGGTTTCAAACACTGTAAGTATGAGAATGGCCAGTGTTCTCCGTTGTCTAACAATTTGTCTTTGTTTCTTCTCATTACAGGAGAACAGAAATGCAGATGAGGCATGATGAAATCCGGCAGAAATATGGTAACACATTTCTTGTTTGTGCAGTTTCAGTGTGTAATAAATGCCAATTTGGAATATCAAAGTGCTATGTTTAGTTTACATTCACAGTGACAAAACAGTTGCAATATGAATAAAAACAGGGTAGGAGAAAGATAACAAAATAAATATAGCTAAATTTGAGCAGATGAAGCAAAGAACCAATATATGAAGTCATTATCAACCTAGAGAAAAAAGTGAGAAAAGCCCACTAGTGCCATCTAATGGAGAAAAAAATACACGTGCATATCTGATAAACTTTAACATAAATTGCCACTTAAAGGTACAATATGTTATTTAAGGTAGCACTAGCATGAAACTCCAAATCAATCTACTCTGCTCCACCCAGCACTCCCTCTCCCTGCTCCACTACGCTCTACTACAATCTGCTACCCTCCGTCACGCTCTGCCCAGCTCTTTAGATATTTGTAGTTATGAAGTTACAATAAATGAGAATGCAACAAAACTTAATGATCAAGCAGAAATAGTCAAAAATCTGATTGGTTAGTGGGGTCATAGCTATTAACTCTGCACTGCTGCTGGTGCTGTGTAATGAGTCTGGGTCACAGGAGGCTTCGACAGCGACTTTCCACATTAAGACAAACAGATTTCTACAACACAAATATTTGAAAAAGGTACATACTGTAGCTGTAACTAAATGTATGAAAATATTTTTGCAAGACAAAAATATGGGAATAAATGAATTGCATTTAACTCAGTATTTTGAATGTATGCAAACATCTAATCTGAGTATTTTATTTTCCTAAATGTTTTGATTGTAGCTGTACTGTTGATGACCTGATCTGTTCTGGTGTTTTTTTCTTATAGGCCTGGCAACGGATAACCCATACTCTCGTATGGACAATCATTAAGAAGAACCTCAGCAATGTTTTCTTTAAAAAAATCCATTAAAATGATCTTACTGAGACATTTTTACTACATTGAGATGGAGCATACAAGTATGTGATAAACTGTGATTATCTGGACTGATTTCAGTGATGGCCAAAAATGTAACCAAAATATCATTTCAATGATTATGCACTATATTTATATGGTCTATTCATGGTCTGTTCACCCAGTATTTCATTTTTAATATGCGCTACTCTGTTATTAATGTTTCTTCTGCCTTACATTTTGATGTAAGTGACTATAGGAAAATCTGTTAAGTCAACTGTTTTACTGTCCAAACAGGAAAATAGATAGAGGGCAAATCTTTATTGCAGCGTTGTAAACTTCTACAACTCCAGAGCTGATCAGTGCTTGTGGTGCTTCTTTTATAACTAGGAGTATCATTTTCACACTGGTAATAATTTAACACCATTTTACTGATTGTCATTCATGACTAAAGTTCAGCATTTATCTTTCTATAAAATGTTAATTTGTAACATGCAATGCAAGAGTTTTTGCTATTTTATCTAGTTCAGAATGTTATTGGATAAAAAGATGTTTTGAATCGCATGGCTAGCATTTGTGACCTTTCATTTCAAAATTAAACCAACAAAAATGCAAATGTTTTTCTGACTTGTATTGTTTTAAGTTCAAATATAACAAAAATTAAATTGAGTCCCCAGTTTTTCATTCTTAAACCACCCAAATCAAAATACAGTGGCCAACAAATATAAACTTTGAATGAATCTGGTTCTCTCCAAGTGAACTTTATTGTCATTACCAATGTACAAGTACAAGGCAGTGAAATCCAGTTTAGCATCTAACCAAAAGTGCAATAACAGCAGTGCAGAGTGTGCAGTATCTACAGCATGTACAGTCAGTACTAATTTATTGATAGATATGTACAACAGATATTTACAGTAAGATATGTAAGGTAATGTACAATATACAACAGACAAATGATTTAAATGACAAGTCATGGATAATGTACAGTAAGCTTATAAAACACTAGTGTAATGGGGTGAAATGGAATGAGATAGTGCAGAAGTGAGGACACCTAAGCATGGAACCAGCGATCCTAAGTGTCAGTACTGTGGTTGCACATCTCTTTACTTGGGCATGTGCCTTTCATGTGGAAATATATTCCTGGCCTATTCATCCAACCTACATGGCAATCTTTTGGCAGCCTTTCCTAAATCTAACATCTGTTAGGTATTTTTAGTCAGATAGAGATACTTTTTGTATTAGAAATGTTTAGTGGAGATAGGATGTCTAGTTAGACTGTTAAATGCTTAGTCATGCTTATGAGTTTCTACAGGGTACATCTGGTCAAGGATAACTAGAGAGAAGAGTTGATGACTGTCAGCAGACAGGGTGTTTAATATTATTATTATGACGTGTATAACTGTAGCCTTAGCCATAATATGTTCTTATGTTTAAGTCACGACATGTTACTAGAAGTCTGTGAGAATGTTTCTAGTTAAACACCACTTAACCAACAGACATACACACATTGATTTACTTCATGTTTTGACTACTGCTATGACCAGCTGCAAAGCTGGCACCAGAGACGTCTCGGTTGACGTTTCTGTGTAGTATGGGGCTAGCCCAACCGCGGGGATATAATGTATAGGCCTGGTGGGTTCAGGGTCTTTCATCTTACATCTGCCTGTGACCAGTTTGGAGGTGCAAGATACCTGAGCGTGTAATGTTAATTTGACCTGTGATCCTTTGAATAAACCAGCACTGTTTTGAAGTTACTTGGACTGTCTCGTCTCTCAGAGTTAGCAATGGTAAGAAGAACCAAAAAAGTCCTTCACATCTAATCCCGAAAAGAAGGCACTCCATGCATGATTAATTTGCTGTTCAGTCATCAGTCATTTAGAATTGTTGCACAATAGCGTTTTGGGATAATTCCTCTTATTCATCTAGCATCCATCTTGAAGACCAAATCGAGGCCAAAGGGTACGAATCTAAACCGGAAGTATTCGACAGCGACAGAACGGAAGCTGCTCATGATTGCTTCCAGTGCCATTACTCATCATGGCAGAACCCGTGTGAACAACAAACCTGCTCGAAAATGGGCAAATAATTAGCACAAGATTTTCTAGGCTGTTCTGTTGAAAGGCTACAGCAACTGGACTGAGGGGTATGTGCACGACATGGAAGGTAACGACGGGGACAGCCTTTGTTTGCTCAACGTTTGCTAGTTAGCTTGCTAATATACCGTAACTGGCGTGACTGGTCTGTGTTTAATTCAAGGGGCTGGTCGATGAGGAAATTGGTTTGTTTGGTATGTACAATGGATAGGGCGGTGATAGGATTGATATATGGGGGTTGTTGGGGACTTGCACTGCTGTGGGTCTGAGTGTCCGGTGTTGGGCTAATGGTACCACGGTCTAAGAAAGGGGGTAGGACTAGATAAGTGTATACTTCTTCCTACTCCCTTTCAAGCATGTACTATTGGAATGTTGTGATGTCTTATGCGTATTTGTTGAAATGTCTAATCAATTTTGTTTTTCGCAATATCAATTTTCTTAGTTTTACATGCTTGGAAGAAACTTAAAAAACTGGACACCACAACGTTACACTCTAATGCTAGTCAATGGTAGAACATATAGGTTAACCGCAACAGATTGTTTCTGTTGATTTATTAGCATTAGTATTTCTTTAACCGACAGTCAGAATGGGCAAGACGCATATTGGTGTGAGAGCCAGGACGTTTCGCTCAATTCGAAGAATTCAGGTATGTGGATAAACCGTTCAGTTTGCAGAGTGATACCGCTGTTAAAATACACCCGCATTCAGAATGTTCAAATACTCATTTTGATCCTTTGTATCAATAGCTAACCTTCCCCTGTCCGATTGAAAATAATGTGTCATCTGTTATAATATTATCTGCAGTTGCTGTGATGTCTAGTTGACGGTGTACGAATCAAAATGGCTTGTTTTCGCTGCCACTACAAAGCAAGACAGGACTGGGTAGTACTGTTGGTTATTAGCGTGAATAAGAATTCATTTACAGTCATGGTTTGCTCAGTTCACAGAGCAGTTTAAGTAGGGTTGAGGAAGGTACTCTCCAGATGTAACAGATCACTTTCCTGTTTAAACTACTCAGTAATGCCATCTACAGGTTGCTCAAACACAGTAACATAAAAATATAATGATTACTTTTGGACATTGTTAAACATCTTTGCCTCCAAAATCAATAGCTTATTTTAATCAATGGTTAATTCAAATGTATAGACTGTTGTCACATTACTGTGATATTGTTACATCATCAACCCTCTGTTTTAGTACAGTGAGTGTCCAAGATATAAGGTACCCTGCAAGCTGTATCAATTGGTATCATCAACTGATGTTGATAACACATCTACAAACATAAAATGTAGCCGATGCTTTCATTTCTGGAACATGAAGTGCCAGATGTATTTGATTAACTCCATACTCGGTATACATCGCTGTGCTTTAATGTTATGTATTTATATGTCTCTACCTACTTTGCTGGAACAGACTATTACAGTCATTTGGTATGTGTTCTCAAACATGTTTTATTATTCTTACAGGTGGAGCTGTCCGTCAAGTAACCATTCATTGGCAACACGTACTGCACCTACAAACCTGACCTGGGACAGCACACGATAGGACTGCTCTACACACTTGCCCACTACGTAAAAACCGGGTATACATCTGTCCCCTGGCTGCAAGCAAAACATCCCTGCCACAAGCTTGGCATGTTCCATTAAGAACATTAGGTCTCAGTCTAAAAGCAGTTAGCACAGTGTCCAAAATCAAGCCACCAGTGACTTATGCACTGCCCCGGAAAAAAACAGCGCTTGACTCGGGGGATAATCTCTAATTTGTATTGTCCTGTGCTACTTCCATTACCTGCTTGGAATTTGCAGAGACACTGGAGAGACCTGGCTGCAATCAGCAGTAAGAGCCAGATGTTGAAATTACTTGAAGCAAATCATAAACAGTCTACTGATCTGGTCTCCACAGACCATGGGGGCCTTCCACGGGATTCTCTATCAAGTTACCAAATTCACAGTCCACTGTCCATTTCCAGTGAAAAGCACCTTCATCTTCCCCTACCACCATAGCCATGTTCCTAGAGCACTGTAGTAGATGATACTGAGACATATTACTACGAAGGCCTTTCAAGAGAATCTGCTCCAGGGTGAGAGACTGAGAGTTTGGGGGTAAACATGAAAGAGAAACTATGCAAACAAACAAAAGCAGTGGAGGGAGGCCTAGTCAGTTGCTGCTGCTGAGCACAAGGACATCACTAGAAATGAAGTCTACACTGTGGATATTTTGATTAACCCCATGCCCCACACCTGGGTGCCTCACCCGACTGGAAAGTGCATGACCTTAATACAGCACTTACTGACGGACTTCTGGAAATCAAGTGTCCAGACAAGGATAGTTTCGAAGACCGTACATACTTGTATTGCAAGGCTGATGGGACCACTCATGAGTACTACTTCCAGATGGTTAATCTAATGGGTATCACTAGTATCACATGGTGTGAGTTCTTTGTCAGGTGCAAACAGGATGATCATCTGGAGCATGTCTACTTCAACCTTGAAGAATGGACAAACATGAAATCCAAACTTGACATTTTCTTCTTTACATACTTCCTGCCTGCCTTGTACAACAAAGGTACATGAAAATATCTGTGAAATGAAACAAGGAGTCAACATTTTATGAAGCAGTGCTGTATTTTCCACAGGCTTAATTCAATGAAACATGGCTGTCTTAGATGTAACTTCCACTGTGCATAAAAAATAAAATAAAAATCTTAATTGTAAAACAGCCTGTTAGTAGAATGCATCCTGCCCAAATGGGGTGGAGTCATTGTAAGAATTTAGAACACACTTTATTTTACAGGCATGTAAATTGCATCTTATTTCAAAAATAATTTCCTAACAAGCTTCCTGAACAAAACTGGTACTAATTATAGGTAAAGTATTAAGGAGTAATCAGGTGATACATTTCCAATTATTTGTAAATACTAAGCTGGCACAATTTTTATTAAGGGTAGAAGGTGAGCTACACAAAGTGTAAAGTTTGCTTGCAAACAAGTTTACAATTCAGCAAATAGTAAATATTGATTGGGATTTAAATTGAGCAATTAGTACCAAACTACTTGGTTCTTTTCAGGAAACCTCTGAAAAATATATTAGGAAATACTGGACCTATACAATAGTGCTACCAACAAATTTAGTGCACTCTTTACAACATGGGGCCATGTAGAGGCCATGTAAGAGGGCACAAACAGTACACATTTGGTTCCCAGAGCCCACTAGTGTCATGGGTAAGACTATCAAATATGTGATACTAATGCCCTGCGACCCCATTTGGGACTGAGCAGTATAGAAGATGTATGTATGAATGATACTAATGCAAAGTCTGGCTGTTGCTTGTGTCTGTCTCATCTCTTCTGGGTTGAAAAGTCCACATTTATTTCAGAAACAAGGTCCTTAATAAGAAAGCCGTTATCAGCCATGACTTGACCACCTCTGTTGAGTAAAGATAGGATCCATGATTCTCTTTATCTCCTTGTCACATATTGAAGCTGTATACAGGTCACTGACAAATGTCACTTCATCTGATGGAGAGATGCCAATTAGGCCCTTAAAGGTGGTATTACCTTTGTATTGAGTGTATTTCAGAGTTGAAAACTTTTGAGCTAGGTCTGCACATGTATTTCTGTACAGTCTAATATAACTCTTGTGCTTTGGAAACAAAGAGGCATAAGCTCATTTACGCTCCCCCTGGAAGGCAATATTGGAAGTGATCCTAACATGTAATTTAAGAAGTTTGTCCCGGTTACACAGACCCTGCTTACAGCTGACTGTGACACATTGAAACGCACTGAAATGTCCTGTATAGGAAATCCTTACCTCAGATGACAAAGAAAAGGGAAAAATTGGTCAATGATTGCTGGTTTAGGAATGCTAAACCCCTGCCTTAGAATTTCCTCATCAGCTTGCCTTAGTTGCTGTGCCTGACTCCACCCCACCATGTTTTCTGAAGAGGGCTATGGGAACACAAACTGTGCTTTGAGTGTGTTTTAATCTGGAAAGCCTGTGTAAAACATGATGTTCTTGTCATTCCCCTGGAATCTTGAAAGAAAAAACTGCTTGCATTGGAGCTGTGCTATTAACTCTGCTTGATCACTGGTGGTCTTGTAGGCTGACTCATCACAGAAAGTGTAAGGGAAAGAAAATATTGAACATTTTTAAGAGGGTACAGTTTAATTTAGTAATATATCTCCTATCTGAGGCCATTCACATGTACAAAAATAATGCTTTTGTCCTCTTCTACAGAATGGCTGAAGGAAAAGAACATTTTTGAGAGGGAGGAAACATACTGAGAGAAACTAAAAATGGTTAAGGTATCAGCAAAAATATTGATCACTCCCAACTATAGGCTGAAGAAATGTAGAAAAACAAAATCAACTGGACTTGGTTTTAGATCGGAGACGTTTCACCTCTCATCCAAGAGGCTTCATCAGTTCTGCCTGACTGGTGTAGAGCCAGAGATATTTATCCCCATCGGTGGTGTTTCAGTCCTTTGATGGCCAAAGGACAAAAGTCCCAGACATAAACGGAGTGATGTGGTGTATTCAGGGTGTCACGACTTGTACATTGGTGAAACTAAGCAGCCGCTGCACAAACGCATGGCCCAGCACAGGAGGGCCAACCCCAGTGGACCAGAGTCAGCAGTCCACCTCTACGTGAAGGACAAAGGACATTCTTTCGAGGACAGTGAAGTCCAGATCCTCTCTAGAGAACATCACTGGTTTGAGAGAGGAGTTAAGGAAGCTATTTTTGTCCAAATAGAACACCCCTGACTAAATAGGGGTGGTGGACTAAGACAGCTTGTCATCAGTCTACAACTCTTGAGATCTCTGACCAAACATGCCCACCAGGACAGTAGGCGTCAGTCCACAGGTGGGGGTTCAAAGACAGGTAACGACGCTCACCAATACTGAAACTAAACTAAACTAAAACGACTCAGTTGTTAGGGGACATTGTTTGGCATCAAAGGACCTGGATGACTGAGAATCTGTACGGACTCCCACTATTGAAATACTGATGAGGAACTTTTCATGGAACCCAAGCTGGAAATGCGTTTTTATGCTCGGGAATACACTTATCACTTGTGTGTTAACACGCGTGCCCGCTGAGCGCGATGGCATGCCGTATTTTGAAACGTAGCTTCGACGGATCATTTTTGGATTTAAGTAACTCGCGGGAGCGCGCAAATTATTTTGCGCGCTCATGTGTCCTCGGTCCCGATTAAAAGTGGAGCACGTGACCCTTCTGGTCGAATAACATTTTGAATTTCAGTGCGCGCTCCTGGGCCAAGTGAAAGAGCCGGAGGAGCTGATAAGTCGCTTCACCAGGAACAGTCGGTTTCCACGTTATAGAGTAATCCCTGGGAAAACAGAAGAATGTCTGAAGAAAAGCCGAAGGTCAGTTCCGCGTTTCTTAGTAGGTCGTGTTTATGTTTATCCTTCGATGCTAATGATGCCAGTTGCAAGTTAACGTTAGCGCGTTAGGCTAAGTTAGCCCTGCCTCCAAGCGATATATACCGCATTTGAGCGGGTAGAGGGAGAAAACAAAGGTTGACTAGTTTGCGGATATTTGGATTTAGGCGCAAACTTTGGTTCGTGTAGCGTTTCTTTCACTATTACCCTCCACTGTGACTAGTACTCATTGGTTGCCTGTTAAATTATGCAGTATTTACGTATGTTGGTGTCAGAGATTGCTATTGAAATGAATGATTTGCTTACCCTTTCGTTTGCGCCATTGTGGCTTTCTGCGCCACTTTGAATATGGGCTAGCTTGCTATGCTAACCACCGAAAGGAGCATTATTTGTGCAGTGTATTGCTTGGTGAGACTGGCTCCAGAACAAAGCTTGTCTTGTAAACGTAACAAGCTAACTAGCACGTTAGCTAATACTGTATATAGATTAATGTTAATGTGGTACTACCGAACACTGGTTTTGTGTCGAAATCTGTTTCCCCATCGAGAGGTGTTTCCTCTACGGAGCGGGGCGCTACTGGAAACGCCGTTTTTAACAACGGACGCACCTCTACGGGGGAGCACATTTCGACACAAGACCGGTGTGTTGCTGCCTCTGATGACGGTTTTTGTTGCAGGAAGGCGTGAAGACGGAGAACGACCACATTAACCTCAAGGTAGCTGGTCAGGACGGGTCGGTGGTACAGTTCAAAATCAAAAGGCACACTCCTCTCAGCAAACTAATGAAGGCATACTGCGAAAGACAGGTAGGTTCATCCAGTAAGACTAAAACCTCTCACTTCCTGTGGTAACGTTGTACTATAATTACGGACATGTGGACGTTTAAAATAATGTTGCTCCTTAGTTTCAATTTAGTTAATAGCTTACTTGATGTAACATGTTGTCTCTGTTCTGTCTTTTTACAGGGGTTGTCAATTCGTCAGATAAGATTTAGATTTGATGGACAGCCAATTAATGAAACAGACACACCTGCACAGGTTGGTTAAACATTTTCTCGTGTACTCGGGTCTTACGCACTAGTCTCGTTTTGTAGATTATTATTGTGTAGTATATTTGAAGTACATAATGGTATATTTTTTTTTTCTTTAAGTCAGTAGTCAATGTTCAGTAATGTTTTTTTTTTTTAACCAAATAGATCAATAGGTGCTGACATGTACAATAAAAGTACACTGTGTAACTAAGCATGAGCATTAAGATTTAAAATAATTTATTGTACATTTGTCGGTTTGTATTGGGCTTTTGCAACTAGACAGTGCAGTTTGTCCTCTTTGTATTTTGCAACCTCCTGATTGCCCTGTTGTCAGTGACATTCTCACACAGACTCAGTTTTGAAGGGCTTGGAATTTTTCTTAGACTCCCCTGAGGCTGGTACTTGTCACTAACATTGTCACAGACTGGTTGAGAATACTTGTGCTCCACACTGAGCTTTGTATCAGCCTACATAAGTCTCATGTTTTACCTGTATGATCCATGTTTTAATGTCTTTGCTCATCATCTATAATGTGAATATGTTTCTCCTGAACATTTAGTCACTCATGGGGGCAGTAGAGGAGATTGTAGCTGCATCCAGTTCAGAAGTACATTAGCATACTTCATGGACATTCAGCAGCAGAGCCAAGCTCATCAGAGCAGCAAATGGATACAAGCCGTGCTGCCCTGCATTCTGCTTTTAGGCATTGTGCTGTCTGCTGTGTCCATTACCCATCTCTGTTTCAAACCATTAGTTTTGAGGTATGGTTATTTTAAGACAAGACTCTGTAAAGCTTACTGCCTTCCACACTGCCGCTCCTGCATTGATGTGTACAATGTCGCAGACAGAAAGTTGCGTGCGGTTTGCTTGAGAGAAAGTGAGTTGACTTGGGGCTTCTTGACTGATGCATCAGCTTTTAGGTAGCAGTGTTAGGAAGCAGTATCACACCTACATAGATTACTTATCATGCAAATTAAAACACATGGCTGCTTCA